TCTAATAAGGACCTATCTCCTTTTCACCTCTTATAAATGCCCCTATCAAAATATGATGGGTGCCCCTTTTCCGTCAACAGATGCCTATTTCCCATTTTCGTAAACACCTCTTTTTCATCACTGGTGAGTGCCTCTTTTCAGGTGAAAAAAATGCCTCATTTTCACCTCTTATAATTATCCTTGTACTTTGACACGTGCTCCTTTTCTTTTCTAATAAGTGTCTTATCCCTTTCGATAATTGTCCCCTTTTCATGTAATCATTAAACGTGCCCCTTATTTAAAGCGACTAAGAGCAATTTCCCCCAAAGGTCGCTCGCTGCGCTCGCTCGCATTTAAAGATGATATGTTATTTATCAAAGGTCTTTTAGTCTTCCGTTATGAGAATGTGCTTATAACCCCATCACGATTGGCTTTTTCCCTCTTTATAAGATGAAATTTTCGCACTGCGACCTCACAGATCTGTAATTTTTTTTCTCGCTCACTCGTAAATGCATATTCAGACATCACACCCAACTGTAAAGTATGATGCTTAAGCGATATCTTGTATGATGTATGAAGAGAAACAAATATTGAAATCATCCCTGATAATGTAATCACAATGTAGGGGTATATATGTACCAATGTCTAAAAAATTGTATATTTTCGCTTTGAGATTTCCCACTGTGGATGCCCTTTTTTTTTCTAGAAAGTGCCCTTTTTTGTTGGTGCCCCCCCCCCCCCACTTTCATTTCATTTTTTTTTTCATTTTTATTTTTCATTTCCAACAAAATACAATACATAATAACGAATACAATGTAAAATGTATACAAAACATAGTTACATTGGTAATAAACAAATCTTAATAATAATTTATACATTTTAGGAAGACAAAAAATGAATTTTAAAATTTAACTGCATTTATACTTTAAAGGAAATGAAGAGGTCCACTGAAAAGCAAAGCTTGTAAATTGTGGACCCCTCAGATAATAATGAGTGTGAACATAATCAATGAAAGAAGAATAGTGGCCAATAGAGAACGTACTTTAAGACGCTCGGCCGCCCCTGACTACAAGCATGGTTTTAAACAAACAGAATCGTACAATATCATTACTACGTGACAATATTGTCTGTGTACAATTCAATGCTATCAGTATTTCTTTTTCAATTCATTTGATGCTGCTAATTTTCTCCTCCTTATAATAATTTCCCTGTCTGGCAAGGAAAGTCTATCATCCTACAACTTGAGACAAATTAGGTGGCTCCATGCAATTGAATTTAATTAATCTCTAGATAGATGATGTATCCGTCTGTCTTTCAAATGTCACAAAGAGCAAATACATTATATCAATACACATTTACAATGCAAAACAAACTATGGCAATGCATGACAAAAACAAAGTGAACTAAAAGAAAGTCGAGGAGACCCTAGTAAATTTTAATATATACGTACGCACAATTTAAGCACACAAAAGTAAATCTGAGCGCAGGCAAATTAAGAGATGAAAGAAACTATACAATGATTATAAGTTAAGACATCAATATTAGAGATAAACAAGATTTGAATTAGTACTGCCCCGGGTCTGTAATGAAAGTTTTCAATGTCAAATTAGACATTATTATCATTATATAATTGTAATTATCACTATTTTCCCCGATGACAGTATTAATTAGCGCGCGCGCGCCGCTACTACCTAACTCTAGCTCTTTCTCGATCTTGGCCAGTGCGTTCTCTCGTCTTTGCTGCGACATCAAGACCGGCTCCGAACATAGTATTCTCTTCTGAATCTTGGTGAGGTGCGTAAGATCTTTCATTGTTTGGTCTTTTTTTCCATCAACTTTCTAATTTTTATCTAATGTATTATCTGATTCATGAAATGGGGAAAAAGTGTTTAGAAGATCAAATATCTATGGAAACATAACCTTCGACTCGGAAGGTTTCGCGGCAAACCACTGCACAATACAACTTGTATTACATGCAAGGGATCATATGTCGGTACGGTATATGCATGCACTTGACTTGTCATATTGCACATCAGCGGTTTGCCTGCATGGCGCCTGGAGCCTTGGTGAAAGTGTAGACTATAGACCCCTAGATCTAGGTCTAGTCAGAATTAAAACAAAGTTTTGGAAATTTCAAAAAGCGCCTAGTGTACTGGCGTCAGTGGCGGATTCAGGGGGAGGGGGCCCGCCCCCCCCCCCCAGGAAAAAAATGTATTTTTACATTTTTTAACTTTAATTTTACCTTCTTTTGGAGATTGCCCCCCCCCCCCCCACCTGGCGCTAAAGGGGGGGGGGGGGTGCAATTTTTCAAATTTTCGGGGGCAAAAAAAAAAATTAGTGCTCACTACCCCCGGTGTCTAGAGAGCAAAGGCCGCCAATATTGTAAAGAAATGTACGGTTATTCGCCGGAGGATAGCGGTATAGACTATATCCCATCTCTATGAGTATTACCGATAAACAACGGAAGCTCGCAGTGCAGTGTGGCCGTTAGCAGTGGCTGTACTGCATGCGCAGTTAGTACCGGTACGTATGCACGCTGCCGCCCCATATCTGCTGGAGCTGGAGGCGATCGCGCACACCGGGGCTAGCTGAAACATGGTCATGGAGAAGTTTTTCATTGTGAAAAGCATGAATCCTCTGAAATCTGGTGATTCCGATCGACCAGTAAATATATTGAAAAGACGAATAGGAAGATGTTGTGGAAGGAGATGGTAACATGGGTGGATCTACGGGGGGGGGGGGGGGGGGGGGGGGGGGGGGGGGGGGGGGGGGGGGGGGGGGG